CACCTCTCCAGCGCGGCATGTATCATCATCCTTATTTCACACATGAGGACCCTGAGCCACAGACAGAAAACACCAAAATGGGGAGCCATTCCAAAATTAAAGTGTAATGCCTAATGTTTTACATTAGTTTTCACAAAAGTGGAGTTCTCACCCACTAAGTTAATACCACTCTGTGGATCAGGAATGAATTAGCTTTCTTATTGATAACTCAATAAGAAATAATAAGAATGTGCCCATTCCAAAGAAAGGTGATCCCACAGAATGTAGAAATTATAGAACAATATCATTAATATCACATGCAAGTAAGATCTTACTGAAGATAATTCAGAAACGTTTGCAGCAGTATATTGACAGAGAACTTCCAGAGGTTCAAGCCGGATTCAGAAGAGGACGTGGAACAAGGGATATCATAGCTGTTGTCAGATGGATCTTGGCTCAAGGAAGGGAATACCAGAAAGATGTTTACTTGTGTTTTATTGACTATGCAAAGGCAATTGATTGTGTGGATCATGACAAATTATGGATAACATTGAGAAGAATGGGAATTCCCGAGCACTTGATTGTACTCATGAGGAATCTGTACCTTGACCAGGAGGTTGTCGTTCAAACAGAACAAGGGGACACTACATGGTTTAAAATCAAGAAGGGAGTGCGTCAGGGTTGTATTCTTTCTTCACACTTATTTCAATCTATATGCTGAGCAAATAATCCGAGAAGCTGGACTATATGAAGAAAAACGTGGTATCAGTATTGGAGGAAGAATCATTAACAACCTGAGATATGCAGATGATACAACTTTGCTTGCTGAAAGTGAGGATGACTTAAGGCACCTACTGATGAAGGTTGAAGAATACAGTCTGCAGTATGGATTACATCTCAACATAAAGAAAACAAAAATCCTCACAACTGGACCAATGAGCAGCATCACAATAAATGGAGAGAAGATTGAGGTTGTCAAGGAATTCACATTGCTTGGTTCTACAATCGATGCCAACGGAAGCAGCAGTCAGGACATTAGATGACGTGTAGCATTGGGGAAGTCAACTGCAAAGGAACTGTTTCAAGTGCTGAGGAGCAAGGATATCTCATTGAGGACTAAGGTGCGCCTGACACAAGCCATGATATTTCCAATCGCCTGGTATGCATGTGAGAGCTGGACAATGAATAAGGAAGACCGAAGAAGAGTTGATGCTTTTGAGTTGTGGTGCTGGCGAAGAATGCTGAAAGTACCATGGACTGCTAAAAGAACTAACAGATCTGTCCTGGAGGAAGTGCAGCCAGAATGCTCCTTGGAAGCAAGAATGGCCAGACTTCGTCTCAGCTATTTTGGTCATGTTGTAAGAAGGGACCATTCCCTGGAGAAGGATGTCATGCTTGGTAGGGTGGAGGGTCGACGGAAGAGGGGGAGGCCTTCAAGGAGCTGGATTGATACAGTGGCTGCGATGATGGGCTCAAGTATAGCAGGGATTGTGGGGCTGGCGCGGGATCGGGCAGTGTTTCGTTCTGCTGTGCATGGGGTCGCTATGGGTCGGAAACGACTCGACGGCACTTAACAACAACAACAACAACATTGATAACTCTACTATGGTAGCCAAGCCTTCACTAAGAATGATATTTAAAATGACCAAAAACACCTCCTCGTCCAGAGCAAAGAACGAAGAAAACCAAAGACACATGGAAACAATTAGTCCAAGGGACTGGTACACCATGTGATCCCCAGCCTATACAACTATGAGACCAGAAGAACTAGATGGTGCCCAGCTACCACTGTCAACCACTCAGGGGGATCTATGTAGGAGATCCTGGATAGAGTGAGAGAACAGTGTGGAACAAAACTCAAAATCACACACACACACACACACACACACACACCCCCAAAAGGGACCAGGTTTGCTGGTCCAATAGAGTCTGGGGGAACCACTAAGACTATGGACCCTAGCTGCCCTTCAGGTCTAGAACTGAACCCACTCCTGTGGCTTCCAGCCAAACAAAAGACAGGCATATGAGTTGAACTTTTACATTAGACAGATACACTCCTTGGAGAGATCAATCCTGGGAGAATAGAAGGGCTGTATATGCACAGGGAGACAGCTCAGTGGGCAAGAGTACATGGGAGGGAAGGGCACAGGGAAGAGGTAACTATGGGGAGGAAGAAAGAGGGGAGCTGTTGCATTGTGGGAGATTGCAGTCAGTGTCATGAGACAAAGTGTATGTAAGCTGCTGTATGGGAAGTGAATTTGTTCTGTAAACTTACACCCAAATCACAATAAATTTTTTTTTAAAAAAGACCACAGCACTCAGCAGGTCTTTACCTTCCTCTGCTGACATTCGATCTGAAGGTAGTAGACCCCACACAACTTAGACACACCTCGAGTTTCTGGGTAGGAGATTCTCATTCTCCATCATACACAAAGGCTCCTTCTCAAATGTAACCTAGGTTTGACTTATGTTCTCACCAGCCTATGTTGCAAATACAGAACTGGCAGCTCCTCCATTCAGCCATCCATTCAATAAACATTTACTATTCATCTACTGCCCATGAGGCACTGAGCTAAGGCAGGGCCAGAACAAAATGGTGGCAAATGGCCCCCCGTCTCAGTGTTGATGATCCGGCACATTCCACACACAACAATTATAAAAATAAATGTCTAAAACTGGACAATTGCTATAAAGGACGGCACGACACATCTTCATAGATTGTTACTTCTCGAGGTCTCAATGTAGATCCAAGGTAGGATTAGGATTTAGAATTCAAATCTGCATTTAAAAATTTCTGAATGCCACCAAACTCGTAAGATGTTTTATTCATTCAACAAATATTACCGAGCAGGTACTGTGCTTGGCACTGGGAGATAACAGAGAGCAAAACAGATCCAGTACCTGCTCTCTTGGAGTTCACACTCTAGCTGGGGATGGACTTCAATCAAATAATCACACAGATGATACAACACTGCATCTGTGATACATGCTTTAAGAACTGTGAGAGTGCAAAATAGAATAAGGGGCTGTGACCTGGTTAGGGAGGTCACAGAGGGTTTCAAGGAGGCAGTGTCAATGGAGCTGAGATCTTAAACATGAGCAAGAGTTTGTCAGGGGAGAAGTAGGTAAGGGAGAGAGACCTGGTCTCCGTGAAGGCAGCAGCAGGGTCTGTGCAAAGGGCTGCAGGGAGTCTCTTACGGCTGGAGTGCAGAGAGAAGTGGGCAGTGGGGCAAGATGTTGTATGGAGGGATGGACACTGGGAAGCAGTAACTACAGGGAGGAAGTGGGAGGGGAGCTGTTGCATTGTGGTAACTGTGGTCAATGACATGAGACAAAGTATATGTGAACTGCTGTATGGAAAGTGAATTTGCTCTGTAAATCTTCACCCAAATCACAATTTACTAAAAAAAAAAAAAAAAGATGAGGCTGAGACCTCTCCCATTAGAAGAGTAGACCAATGCTAAGAAAATGAGATTCAATTTGAAACCCCATAGTGAAAACCGTGGACAAGCCTATTGGAGATATAATACTCCTATCAGTCTGTTGTAACAACATCACCCTAAGGGCCAGTCCCTACAGTGGCTGAACCCTGGCTCTACCACTGAGAAGTTGGGGGATCTTGGGCAAATCACTTAAACCTCTCTGAGCTAGTATTGTCATTTGCAAATGTAAATAACAACAGTATACCTACTTCTGGGATTACTGTCAGAATTTGTTGAGAATTACTACAGAGATGTTAGTTACAATGTTGTTGTTGTTGTTATTTGCCATCGAGTCGGCCCGACTCATAGCGACCCCTCCTTGGGTTTCCGAGGCAGTATCACTACGGAAGTAGGAATGCCCAACCTTCCTTCCGAGGAGTGGTTGGTGGGTTTGAACCGCCAGCCTTCTGGTTAGCAGTCAAGTGCCTTAGGCACTATGCTACCAGAGCCTCTGTAATCAACAATTTCATGAACATGTAGAACATGCAGGGATTTACTCTTAAAATGGCCTCAAGCTCTATGTGTGGTTCTATACCTCCCTGTTTCACTCACCATCATACAGCACCATCTGAAAATGCTAGTGACAATCTATACTACCAGGTTTAATGGCGGTGAGATGGTTCTGTCTAAAGCTGACCCATACGTTTATGGAACCAATCTCGCATCTTTGAACACTTATTTTACTCTCAATTAAACAAACAAAAACCATTATAACTACCAATGTGACTAATACTCTTGCACATATATCTTGGATCATTTAATGAATTATTTCCTCAGGATAAAATTTCAGAAGGAAGCTGGGTTTCAAGGTGTACATTTTAGGCACTTTTTATTCCAGTTGCCAACTTGCCTTCCAGAAAATTATCCTGTTTAAACTAACTGTCGCATAATCATCGCAGGTCATACAGCTTTTTCACATTTGCTAACCTGGTGTTCTATTTTAATTTGTATTTCTCCGAATTCTTTTGTATGGTTGTTAATAAACATGTTAGTTGTGTATGTTGACATGATGACTTTTATCTGACATCTATGCACACACAGGCACACACACATCTTTCTTTCTTTTTCGGCTGAATCACTGAGAGGACATTTTGCAGCCATCATGATATTTCACTTCTAAACACCTCAGTGTGCATCTTGGAAAAATAAGTACATATGACGACAATACGATTATGCTACAAAAATAATAGCAATTCCCCAATATCACCTAATACCTAACTCACAATGAAATTTCTATCTTTGTAACTTTTGTTATTTGACCTTAACATATTATAAACATATTATTCTTAACAATCATATCACCATTGTCTTCTGTCGCATCTGGTGAGGTTAAGTATATGGTTATTGGCAGTAAAAGCAGATAGGGTATTTCATTACTTTGATCTGCATAAGGGGGGGCTGACAACCAGTCCCCACTCCCAGCTTTGGCTGAGGGGAGGCCAGAGTGATGACTACTGAGCTCGACAGAGGAGGAGAAGCTCACAAACAACACTGCGCAGAAAGCCAAGGGGATCTGAGCCTGCAGCTCACTCTACTCACCACATTCTCCAAAGGCGCAGCACCAAACACTTTAAAGACTGGATTTGGTTTGGAAGGTGAGATACACAGGACAATGGCTTGCTGTCCCACTCGAGTGGTATACTCGTCTAATGTGGCTCGGAGCTTCCTAAATGAGAGAATGAAAAACTGTTAAAAAATGTAAAACTGACAGTGGTGTAGACAGATAAAACAGACTCGAGAGACTACTCTGATTACATTTTCTTTCAGCCTGTATGTGGAAAAAGAAGTGTGAAGTCTGATAGTCTATTCGGTAGAAATATGTATAGATCCTTCTCTTAAAGGCCAATGACAATCTTATGCTGTGTGTAATTTACCACAATTAAAAAACCAAACAAAACAATGACTAGCCCATTGTTATTACATCTACCGAGGGTATACCTTTGGACACACAGTCATGACACAGTGTTGAACACGGGGAGGAGTGTCCTTCTTGATCTCAACGACATCAAAGGGGGCTTCTCTCACTGCTGCTTGTGCTAATAAAGATCACTGCGCACATGTCCTCAGACGGGCCGTACTGTGTGGTCCTCGTGCTTGATGAAAGGGGCTCAAGTGACTTGTCTCACATTTCTTTGATCGATATTTATGTTTCATGGACATAATTTCACCCAAAATACTAGTTTAAAAAAGTCGTAGCTTCAGATTTTCTTTGTGGTATAAAAAGTATCTAATTCTCAGCCCTGCAGTATTTTACAATGAAGAGGGAGTGAAAAAATCTTTTCAAATATATCAACACTGGATGAAACAGAAATGCTGTGTTTTTCTTCTGAAACCACGGGAGACTATCTTATGGTTCAATGTTCTGTAATTCTTCTGGGAACACATTCTACCCCTTCAAAGGAGTGGAAGTCATGCCAATTCAAGGGAAGCAAAGCCAATGTATTTAAATTAAAGTTTTCCATCCTTCTCCGAAAGCACGTACTTTTGTTTGTGGCCCTACAGCAGTGGTACTTCTACACACAGTGTACTCTTGTCCCTCCCGCCGGCATCGTCATTACAGGAAACGGGAAAAACTGCCCACCCAGGGAGATCTCCTTTCTTTGAGCTCTGACAGCTACTGCTACGTACTTTTAGGGCTTCCCTCTCCAGGTGTAATCACTTCAGATTCTTACGATCTGCTTTTTATGCCCTTGATATAAACCTCGCTGCATATATTTATATGGGCTGGCCTTACACTGGCACATAATATTCCAATACAAATATGGAAATTTTGGATACAGTATGTTAACATTATAAGGAAAAACTTCTGGAATATTTTATGGATTAAATTTATAATACAAATGCATATCTTACAACCTGTCAAAATTCTGTCTTCAGTGTATCACACCTATGTAATCTTTCTATCACAAACCTACAAAGTCTTTGGAAGGAATAAAATGGGAAATGGACCACATATCCAAAACAATGATTTCCCAGACCACTCCTACAGAAAACAGAAATCACTGTATCTCCCCTAATCTCCTGACCTTCCTGTTTTCCTTACTCAGCTGTATTTTTTTCATAGTACTCACTGCCACCTGACATCATACTACTTATTTTACCTCTCCCTCCACTAGGATATAAGACCTTCACAGGATTTTGCTTTGTTCACTGTTATATTCTCAGTGCCAAGAATAATGCCTGGCACACAGTAGGCATACCAATTTTCTCTGAAATAATGTGATATTGTTGTTGTTGTTATGTGCCGTGAAGTCGGACCCAACTCATAGCGACCCCTCCTTGGGTTTCTGAGGCAGTATCATTATGGAAGTAGATTGCCCCATCTTCCTTCCAAGGAGTGGCTGGTGGATTTGAACTGCCAGCCTTCTGGTTAGCAGTCAAGTGCCTTAGGCACTATGCTACCAGAGCTCCTAATGTGGTATTATGAACTGGTTAAATCCTATTTCTAGGTTCTCATCTATTTACTTTTGTAAGACCACTTCAAACTCTACTTCTGTCATCAAGGAATCCCAACTTGGTGTCCATGAGGAACCTAACAGCATGCATTCTGTCATCCTCACATGAAGTGTATGAGGAATAGCAATGACATGGACCAGGGGCCCTCACCGAAGCAAGCGTGTTTGCTGTCTCTTTCGGATGGATGGATTAGACTCAAACACATGAGGCCGTTTCCTTTTCTTTCCTGTTGCCACAGCAGCAGCAGCAGCCATTCCCACAGGACCTGAAATAATAACAAATGTGCTCAGAGTAAGAAGAAGCCTGTTAACTGCAGCAGACAGAAACAACCAAAGGTATAATAGGCTGTCAATAAATATAGAACATTCTGGCTCTTACCAATACACTTCACCATTGTTTAACATGAATCCTATCTTAACCAACCAATAATGCAATGAATCTTTTTAAAAAGTGAATGATTTGCACCTCTCCACCAGAAACCAGCTTGAGTTGTGTATAATACTGTTTTTTTTGTTGCTGTTTCTGTTTTGCCAGCATGTCTGTGCTATTGAGGGAATATTCTCAGAGGTGATAGGAAAAGTTATAGCATTAGAGGAAGTTTTTGCCAAAACTGAAAAATAAATTACAGAATCAAATTTCATTTCCCTCCCCAGGCTCCTCTTTTCATTATGCCCACACACTGCCACGTTAAGGAAGTAACAGGTGATCACTAACGCTCGACACTCCAACAACAACAACAATAACCTGAAGAGGAGTATCTGGAAGAATACCATCCGAAATGGCAAACTTCTTGAACCTGGGAATTGTGCCAAAAATGGAGATGTTCACCACAAGGTCAAGCTGATGTAAGCATCCTGGCAAGAAGGAGAGAAAAACTTTCCTGCCTCTAGGAGAAAACACTAACGGGAGCTCATCTGGCTTGCCCCTAAAATTAAGGGCAGAAATGAAGGGTAGGCCCTGAGAAACTACTGGAATCTCTGATTCCTGGGACCTCAGCAGATCAAGGGTGTTCTTTTTTCATTTTTTCAAACAGATTCCACCTCCATTCCTATTTGCAAACCCAGTAAAAGGGTTAAGTGAAAATTAAGCTGAATCGCATCTGTACTGGCATATATATACCTGAGATAGCTCAATTAAAATAAGCCTCCTGTGCTCAGCTACCATTACTGACTGAGCATTTTGATCAAAGATTCGATTGATGAATCCTGTCCAAAAGGGGGAAAATACAGAACAGAATTTTAAATTCTCATAGAATCTAGACTTTCTGGAGCCATGGAGGCTGGATGAAGTCCCAAAACTATTGCTGAGATAATCAGTAAAGCTTAAGCCAAAAATATTCCCTCATTATTTTCTTTACAGCACTCTTTGTTTTCTGAAATTATTTTACTCTAATATTTGTACCCCCTCCCCCCAGCCACAGGCTAGTAAGCTCCTTCACAAGCAAGCTCTTTCCGGTCTCGTTCACCGGATCTCAGAACAATTCCTGCTATATAGTAATCCCTCCATTCCGCTGAATGACTCAATGTAAGTAAGTTCTATCAGCTGGGCTCCGTTCCCACACCTACCCCCAAAGGGGTTAAACTAAAGCCCTTCTTGATCTGACACTGTGACACCACCGTCTTCTTTCCTACGAAGTTGACCTGGAATCATGATATTAGGATGCCCTCTTCTGGTAAATGTAAGAATTAAAAAATACATTGCTACAAACATTTCAAACTGTCTTGTTTTTAAATTTGCTAGTCCAGAAATATATGAGGATAATTGGCAATAATAAGGTTATTCTCCATTGTATCTGTCTTCCTACCCTTAAGTATAGCATACCCTGAAACATAGAGCATTTTGGTAATTTCTGATCATTGGCTATCCTGTCAGCTTTTCAAAAATGTCTTGTAAGATCAGTATTCCTTATCCACAAAAGCTGAACGGGCAAAAAAAAAAAAAAAAATCCTTATACAGTACTAGACAGCCAGGCATGACTTAAAAAAGTCTCCTCATCTGGTGTTAAACACACACTATAAATAGCAAAAAGAATAAAGCAAAATTTTCTAAGGTAGTAGGGGGTTTCTTAAAATCTTTTAATTTCCATTCCTGGAACTATGGAAAAGGACATTGCAGGTGCTCTTTTGTACCCATTTAGAAGTGTCTTCCTTTTTAAAACAAATGTTTACTGAGTAACCCTGAGATTTGGGGGCACTGTATATAGCTCTTAAGAGAAGTGAGAATGGAGCCAAGACGTTCTAAACCAGCAATCAGGACAGGCCATCCAAGAAATACAGCTATACTGGCAATGGGGTGAGTGTGAAAAATGACACAATATTCACACTGGGCTCCTCTTGGAAAATCCCCCATGGGGCTCTCTGGTCGTGTGTCCTAACACAGCCCAACTATTGGTGGGATTTCTGCTCCAGAGCAATCCATCATTTAGGTCCACTCCTCTGAAATGAAGACTAAAAGCTCCCTCACAGTCTATTCTGGAGGTTACACCATCATCTCAATCACCGCAATTCTTCATCCTGCTTCTTTTTAGGTCCTTCTATTAGCAACTTTTTTTTTTTTTTTTTTAGAACTTTGAATTCTTAGCTCAGGGAAAAAAAAAGGAACTTTGTGTCTTCTTCTGTGACTGGCAGAGTATGTACTCACCCTGGATTTGGAGAGGGAAAGGCACTGATTGCCAAGGGGCAGTCCTTCCTTCTGGCTGCGCCCTGGAAACTGGAGACTTTCTTAGAGTGAGATGAAGCCTCTGCAGTAGGCAAGTGCCTCTGAACAGAAGCACACACCAAAACGCAAAACAGGGTCAACTACAACGGGGAGCACGCCTCATGCTCAGAGAGTCAGCTGAAGGTCAGCTCAGGTAAACTACGGCCATAAGTCTCCTCAAAGGAATCACACGTTTTCAAAAGCAAAGGATTTCTCACATATCATCTCAGCAGTGTCATTCAAATTGTGGGTCATGAAATCAACTTAGGGATTGTGACCAGAATTTTTTTAACGAGACAGCCTGAAGATATCACAGTGCATCTATCATACATGATAAATACTGCTCTGTGAAACTTCTGTCTCAGACATGCTCTGCCACCTAGTCTCTGTAAGTTTGTGCGTGTAAACATAATTGTAATATAAAATATATTTCTTATTACAGGTTACAGCTTTTTACTGTTTGAGAAACATCAATGCAGTCCAATTTTTTCTATGTAGATGAGACACTGAGTTTAAGTGACCTGACTTCTGCTTCTAGTAACGGCAAACTAGGTAACTCAGACCAACATTCCTGCCAAAGACAACTACAAAAGCTGGACAGAAACAAAACAGCACAAGCAGGAAAATCATCTTAAAAACATCAAAGACAAGAGAGTAAGGAACCATGGGTCAGGATGCAGAGATAAGCCAGGCATTGGAGCCGTTTGTGCCTCAGGGTGTCTGCCCTTCAGGAGGGCAGCTGAGCATCATTTGAGAGCAGGTTTCACCAAGCGTGGAAGGCCTGCCAACCATCCTGTTCAAGGGTTAGAACTACAATGGACCACACCCTAGCACTGAGGCAATCTGGACGTAAATCTGTCTGCCCATGGAACACAGCTCAGCTGTAAGTCATTTAGCCGCCCACAAAATTCCAAGACCTTATATTGGGTTAAGAAGATCCAGTGTTGCTAATGTCCTCAGGCATCTGGCAGAAGCTAACAAAAATGCTCTCCAGAGGAAGATAACCGTTACCTTTGACCCCAAACACACCAGCCAGGATTCATTCAAGTGTAACCACAGTGTGTAAAGAACAGCCAACATGAACAAGAACAGCATTAACAACATAAAACAGAAATAGACTCACAGGTACTTTAGAGACTAGAATTTCCAGATGGGTTGTAAAATCATAATGCTTGCTTTGCATACCACCCCCCACCCCCAATTTCTTTTCCCACCACAACTGGAGAATGTTAAGAGTGCAAGTCAGGGTATACTAGAATTTCTAACACTGAAGGGGAAAAAAAAAAAGATAACCTATTATCAAAATCAGTGACTCAATGGACAGATTTAAAAGTAGCTAAGACATAGCTGAAGAGAAAATCAATAAACTGGAAGATAGGAAAAAACCTGCAAAATGAAGCAAAAAGAGACAGAGGCTGGTAAGCATAGAGTAAGGGACAAGAGATAGAAAGGAGTCCATGAGGAAGACTAATACACTTCATGTGAGCCACAGAATGAAATGTTCAGATACGGCAGAAGCCAAATCTGAACAGTTAATGGCTACAATTTTCCGGAACTGATGAAAGACACCAATCCACAGATTCAAGCTGTCCAAAGAATCCTAAACAGAATAAACAAGAAACTCATAGCCAGGTATATCACAGAAGCTAAAGGTAAAATCTTAAAAGCAGTCGTGGGGGAGGGATCTGTGTGGGGAGATAAACTTCAAAGGAAACAGCTAATTTCTCAGTAGCAACAACAGAAACCAAAAGACAGTAGAACAGTATCTTCTATATGAGGAAAGAAACTCGTAGTTAAGGTTGTGTGTCAACTTGGCTGGGCCTGGTTTTGAGTGGCTGGGCAGCTGGATGTCATTATTCCCCATGATGAGACTGGTAATCAACTCCATGGGGGAATCTACAGGAGCAGCCTTAGGGATGTGGTCTGCTTCCAACTATATGTTGGAAGGAGCAGCTTTGAGGAAGGGCTCTAGCTTCATGGCACATGTGGATCCTGCATTTGGCTGAGTCATCAGCGTCTGCCATGCTGTCTGCTGATCTTGGGACTGTTTCACTAGGGGCCCGCCATGTTGCTTGATAATTGTGGGACTGTGCCATTTTACTTGTCAACCTTGGATTTGTCAGCCTCAGCAGCCAGCAGCTGCCTGAGTTAAAAGAAGCCTCCAGCTTCAGTGGGCCGGGAGCAAGAGGTAAAGCTGAAGCCCAAGGTTGAGGGGTCTTTACCCAGCCACTAGAGTTGGCACTTTGAAGTCAGACTTCTAGCCTCTCAAACTGTAAGAGAATAAATCCCTGATGTATTTGTTCTGCAGCACTAGACAACCAAAACAGACCTAGAATTATACCCGGTGAAAACACCCTTCAAAATCAAGAGTTAAATACATTGTTAGACAAATAAAAAGTGAGAAAATTTGATACTAGCAGATCCATGCTGTAGTAAATACTAATGATGTCTTTAGGCAGAAAAAAATTACCTCAGAAGCCAGGCTAGAGATGTGAAAAAATAAATAATAACTCTGTATAATAATAAAATAAGAGAATACTGTCTTACAGGGCTTAAAATATACATAAATACACAGGACAACAATTAACATACAGGCCTGAGTGAGGGATAAAATTCAAATATTCTTAGAGACTTGTATTGTCCAGGAAGAGGACAAAGGTATCAATTACTTGTCAATCACTCCAAAAGAATACAAGAAGGCAGAGAAAGTCAACATAGAACAGGTGGGATGGTGAGAGTGTACAGAGTAAAGATGGCAGATGTAAAACTAAATACATCAGGTATTACATTTAATGTGAATGGACTGAATGCTTCAGTTAAAAGCGAAAAGACTACTGGGATGGATGGAAAAACAAAACAAAGTCGTAACACTAAGAGTATATGATTCTAAAACTCAAATTTCAGTCCAATAAATGTTCAAGTTATAAATGCAATGCTTGAAGGGGGCAGAAATTGTGATGAAGATAAATTTGAGAGGGCCTGACTCTTAGCTTCTTTCAGATATGCCTGGTGCCCTGAGTTTAGCAAAGAATGAAGGGCCTCCAGCTGCCGTCACATCACCTGCAGCAGCCAGATGGGCTGTGACCTCATCAGCTGCTGTGGAGTTGAGTATGTCTGAGTCGTCGTAAGAGGTGTCCTCGGGAGAAGAAGGTGAGTCTTCATCAGCACTCAGCATACTGTGCTCAGTGTAGGTGGCCACATGGACCTGCTGTACTTGCTGGGCCACTGCATGGGCTTCTATGGTGGCCATGTGTTCAGTCTGGGTCACTGCGTGTTCCTCCATGAAGATCTACTGTCAGAAAAAAGGCAAAGAACAGCAAGAGAACAAGATTTAGTGTGTGATGGAACACGATGCTCAAAGCAAGAGAGATTTCCCTCAAAAGCAGGGGAATCTGCCATGTCTGACTTCACCACACCCCTCACTGTCTCCCATCACAGGAAACGGGAAGCAATGTTCAAATATGACATAAAATGGTAGATTATCTCCCTTTTGTGAATCCATTTTGATGGACATAAACTGTACTGATTTTATACCTCAGGTAAGAAAACAATAAATATCCTTGATATGACATGTAATAACAAGAAGACATTTAAATATAACAATAAAAAGACATTACATTTATAGAAAACTCCAACACCTCAATAACAAAAAGACAAATACTCCAATTAAAACATGGGCAGAAGACATGAATAGACACTTCACCAAGGAGGATATTCAGGTGGCCAACATATGAAGAAATGCTCATGATCATTAGCCATTAGAGAGATGCAAATCACAACAACAGTAAGTTACCATCTTGCTCCAGCACTAGTAGCAAAGTTCAACAAGACAGAAAAATAACAAATGCTGGTGAGGATGTGCAGAGATTGGGACTCTCATAC